TCTTTCAAACTTCAACATGAGATCGAGCCGAACACATCTGCAGCCGCCAGAACCATCTCTCACAACTTTAACACCTTTGATCCCGCAGATTGCCTCGAATCCTTTTACCGCTGGCTACTACATGCTTTTGATCATGTTCCTTCTTCTCCTGATGTATCTCTTGTGTTATTGGTGGAACAGGAAAAACAAAAAGGAATCGGCCAAATATATACAATTACCTCGGTCGAGGGTTTTAGTGGATTATTATAACTATTCAATTCAATCAGAGAGATTCAGTATTCCCTCCTATCCTACTTTCGAATTGGAACCCAAAACCGAGGCGAGTGTGATCCTCAACTTAGCCGAAATGGGCACTCTGCAAGAAATCAATGTCCTCGCCTACAACGGCTTCAAACCAACACCGATAAATGAGAAGAAAACGACAGAAAACATTTCTAATTTGTTCAGCGAAGGGGACTTTATAAGACACTACCTTACCGAGATCAGCACGACTTATGAGTCTAAATCCGAACAACAAGAAACCACTTTCGGCCATACATCCCTTGAAACATGGGCTAAAAAACACTCGACCGGCATAAGAAACCCCGCGGACGATTCGAGTTCCGAACAACAAGAAACCACTTTCGGCCACATATCCCTTGAAAGAAGGGCTAAAATACAGTCGATGGGCATTAGAAACCTTAAAGACTATTCGAGTTCACAGTCGTCTGCACAAGAACATCCAAAATTTCCTCGACTCTTAAAGAGTGCATTGTCGGCATCGAGTTCCGGAGAATAAGAAAGCAAGATGTCCTTCAAAACTTGGAACTTCAAAGAAATTTCATTGAACTTTTAAAGCTTTCTTCTGGATGTTGAACGCACTTTTCCTGAGAGTGATTCTCACCAAGGACAATCGTTCTCCTATCCTTACCTGAGTCATCACACCAAGGAAGAGAATCACAGAATCCTGCATTCGGATCCGTGCCTTCCATATTCAACAAATGAAAAATCCGACCCGATTAGCTCCTCGGAAGAAAGTCCCTCCTCTTCGGGTTACACTACTGCTGTGTCCATTTCGGCAGACGTTAAAATTCCTCCACCTGCAGATCCCTCCCCCAGCGCAAAGAATTTGAAACGATTGCTCTTTCCGTCTATGAGTTCTTCCGACAGCGAACCCGGAGAGGAGGAAATAATCTTTTTGCACTCGCCGGACTGTCCTCCTGGTAAGGTATGGGTGCAAAGGATCAAAAAAAATTTGAAGCAAAAACGAATAAAATAGAACTGTTAAAGATGAAGCGTTCGTCAGGAACTATAAACAACGTCACCTGAAAGCCAGTTCCAATGAAGTAATGAAAAAGAAGAGCCTAACTTGGATGGCGTCTCTGTGGACAGTCTCTCTACATCGGGTTGTGACTATTTTGGAAGACGATGAAATTCTTTCCATCAGAGATCCTGCACCCATCTTTAAGAACTTGAAACATTTTCTCATTCTGTCTTCCAACAGAGAACCCGGAAAGGAGAAAAATCATTATTTTTCACTTGACGCAATGTCCTTCAAATGGGGCGTAAGAGGAAAAATTAAAAAAAAAACTTGAAACAAAACTTATAAGTGAAAAGTTCGTAAAGAACCACAAATAATGGAGCCGGGAAATAAGCTTCTGTCCAATGATGGAAAAGAAGAACCTAACTAGGATGGCTTTCCTGTGGACAGTCCCTCCTATTCGGGTAGTGACTATTTCGGAAGAAAAGGAAATCGCTTCTCCAGAAATCCTGCGCCCAGGGACAAGAACTGATACATTTCCCTTTCCATCGTCCACGCCATCTGAAAGAGAACAAGGGGAGGAAGAAATTATTATTTTTCACTCGTCGTAATACTCTTTTTAAATGGGGCGCAAGTGAAAAAGTTAAAAAAGTTAGAAACAAAACTGTTGGAAATAAATTACTCGGATCCTGCCAGGAGACGCCTTGTCTCGTGTGAGTGAGAGCGCTCGGGTTCATGGGTAATATTTCGAAGAATGCTATTGGATCTTGACCGCTTAAGGCGGGTTTTTTTCTTGTATTGGATGTAATTGCTCCTGACCGCATAAGCGGGTTGAATTAAAATATGGACTGTTTGGAAGCTTGTATAGTTTTGTAAATTGTATAAATATTCGATTATGTGTGATTGGCACGTGGAGTCCTTAAATAAATGTGTATTGAAATAACTGCTCTCCCTATATTTTGGACTTGGTGGATAAGACATCTTCAACAAAAACTAATAAGTCGAAAAATTCATAAAGAACTACAGATAAGGGTGCAGGAAATTAAGTTCTTGTCAAGTGATGGAAAAAAAGAATTTATCCTGGATGGCTTCTCTGGGGACAGTCAGTGATTCACTCTTCGGGCAGTGATTCACTTCGAGAGATGATGAAATCCCCTCCCGGAAATCCTGCATCCAGCGTCAAGAATTTGAAAACCTTTCGCTTTCCGCCGTCCAGGTCTTCAGACAAAGAACCAGGAGAGGAGGAAACCATCCTTTTTCACTTGTCGTAATGTCCTTTACATAGGGCGCGAGTGGAAAAGTGAAAAAAAAAATTGAGTGAAAATTATCAAATAATTGGCGAAAGGTGAAAAGTTCATGAAGAACTACAAATAAGAGAGTTAATAGTATGCTCCTGTCAAGTCATGGAATAAGTGAGTGAGTGTGAGGTTTTATGGTGCAAGAGCCAAGGTAGGCTATGCTGCGCCAGTCAAGTCATGGAAAAGAAGAATTTAACCTGGATGGCTTCTCCGTGGAAAGTCCCTCCTCTCCGGGTAGTAATCATTTCGGGAGGCGATGAAATCCCCTCCCGGAAATCCAGCATCCAGCGTCAAGAATTTGAAACCTTTTCACTTTCCGTCGTCCAAGTCTTCTGACAAAAAACCAGGAGAGGAGGAAACCATCCATTTTCACTTGGCGCAATGTACTTTATATAGGACGCAAGTCGGAAGGTGATAAAAGGAGTTGAGAAAAAACTTATCAAAAAGAATGGTGACAGGCGAAAAGTTCATGAAGAACCACAAATGAAGCGTACAAAAGCAAGCCCCTGTCAAATCATAGAAAAGAAGAATGGAACATGGACGACTTCTTTGTGGACAGTCTCTCCTCTTTGGTGGATAGTCTGACCTTAGCGACAGACGAATAATTACCCCCGTCCAGAAATCCTTGCCCATCGTGAAGATTAGTTGGTTGGTTGAATTTATGACACCGAATCCTCTAGGGATATATTGTGCCAAAAACAACCCATCATGAAGAATTTGTACGTTTCCTCTTTTCGTTATCCAGCAATTCCGACAGCGAACCGAAAAGGAAGAAGTCATAATTTTTTTATTCCTCGCAAAGTTCTTTACATAGGACGTGGGAGGAAAAGACCAAGAACATACGAAGATGCTGAGTAAAATTAAGGATCTGAACGATCTTATGGAAGATAATTAATCATTTCATTTGTTTTAACACCACTGCAACTTTCTATAATCTACGACTTACATCATTTTGCATAAAAGTAGGGAAGACGATGAAGTATGTCGAATCGGATAGAAGTGTACACTAGTGGAAAAATATAAAAGGACCAACTAGGGGATAACGTAAGTGTATACCGAAAATCAAAGTGTATGTAGGATACCGGAACCATAATTTTAGAAAAACTGTTTTAGACTGTGGCAAATTTGCTGAAAAATGTGTCTTGAAAAATCAGCAATGGAATAATCTTTCTATCAGCTTTTTATAAGTAAAAGAACCACTTCACTTACAAGCAAACATAATAAAATGATTTATTATTCAACTTTTACTAACAAACTTGTAATATTGTAATTAATAAACTTTTCATTTTTTTTGCACTATTTTCATAATTTTAGCAGTCTATTTGACGATAAAACAATTATCCTTTAATTTCTTATATATTATATGCAATTAATAAAAAAAAATTATTCTTAAACACAGCAACGATAACTCTTGACTTTTTCGGGTGGGGAGGGGGGGGACAAAGACAAACTGTTTTTTTTTAAAATCGAAAGGAAGGTGCAGTAAAATTGTTTAGGGTACGGATTTCTTAAAAATATTTTCTTTAAAAATATTTTTATAAGGCTTTCATTTGATAATTCAGTGTGTTCTTTGCAACATATGTTCTTTTTAGTTACTTTTCTCTTACGTAATCATCCACAACTATAAACTTACCACTACAAAAACATATGTTGCAAAAGATACAAAAATGCTTGGTAATGTCGAGAGATAATTTTTTGAGTATCTAGGATTAAGTGCGAATAATACCTAAAAAACGAGTTGGTCGCCAAAAAATATAATTAATTTATAAAAATCAAATTAAGCCTATAACTCTCCAAATAAATATCACATTCGGAAAACACAGTTTTTTCAAACTAAAAAAACAACCGAGAACTATTTGCGAACAACAACATTTCAAGCAAGAGTGTCAGGTACCGTTATATAGAGATATTCCTCTATAACGATATTTTGGGGAGCAAAATAATTTATCGTTATAAAGAGAATCGTTATCGAGTGAATCAGTACTCGAACGAAAAGAACTTTGTTCTTCAAATCAAGTGAAGACACCAGGGGTTCTATGCTTTCATTCAGCACTCACACGTTCACGCAAATAACATTATATATGAAATGGAGGGACAGCAATATGTGTACAATGTTGAGTAATTTTTACAACCCTCCCCATATTTGAGAGAAGTACCCTTGCCCAGAATTCCGGCAACTCCTTAGCCTATAAATGCCTATCGCATATTTAAATCATAAATTCGTATTGTATGAATAAATAAAACCCCCAAAAGCTTTCTGTAAAATATATTAGAGAGTATAAATAAAAGAAAATGAATACCTATTAACTAATCCTTATTTATTTGAAATTCTGTGAAAAGAAACCATAATTTATTTATTTGCATTAGCCAGCGACATTCTTGTGCAAAAGAACAAAATGCATCTAAAAAATTTAGGTCGTCGCCAAAATATAAAAAGGAATTTCCCATCCATTTTCGAGAGAAGGGGGCACTCGGAATCCAACCAAGGACAGGTCGATCTGCAATCGACTGCTCTACCACTGAGCTCTACCCCCACGAGG